TTGCTACAGCCAAAGCTTTATAGCAGGAGCTGTTGCACTTTTTATTATATTTTTGCTTGTTGCTAATTTAAAGTTTGGTATAGCCTCTCTCTTCATAATGCTGAAAACACAAGCTACGTGTCACATAACTTGTGCTCCTTGATAAATGTAACCTTTTTGTTTTAACTTTGTGTAAAGATATTTAGATTCAAATGACAGCCATTATCCTACTTGCTGAAAAGTTTTGAGAATGTAATAATTTGTTGACAAAAGAAATTGTGTAATCCCTATGAAATGTGTGTTTTGATGGAATGATACTTGGGTAAAATTGGCATGAGAGTAAAATGATAGCTTGCACAGTATCTTCTTTCATAACTATTATAAGAAAAATTCTTGAATTTTGATTATAGTTTTAAGTACTTATCTACTTTTAAAGAAAATAAGCATAGGGATAGATGTAAGATTCATGGGTGTCAATCCTAGCAAGGAAATAGTTGTTTAATATAGAGCATTAAAGTAAAAAGCAAAGTGAGAGAAAGCATCTAGATCAATATGTCATTCTACAGACACAGTTAAAGTAGATGAGTTAGTAGCAGGGCTGGGTCTAGAAAACAATTCTTCCATTTAATGCCCCCAACTCTTGTTTAGCCTTTGGTCAGTAAAACATCATTATGCCCATTTTTCTGATGGGTCCTAAGAACTGAAATCACTCAACCAAGAACACACACATACTGATGTCAAAAGTGGGTCTGAAAAACCAAGAGGACCGTTTTATGCTGCAGCCTTTCACTGCACCGCGGCTGGGTGCCTTCCTCATTTCTTGCCCTTGATTATTTTTTAAAACATTTCATAAGCAGCTGAAATATTTTAGATCAAATGGCAGGGTTGAGTGACTCCACCAAAGGTTAAGTGTAGTACTGCTCCTTTTACAGGGATAAATGCAGCCCAGAGATTTCATAGTACACGGTGGGGCAAGTTTACACGTCTTCCCAGGAAAGACACAGGTTTAGCGCTGGACTTTTCATTCGTATGTCTAAGGCAGCGTGAGATCATGGTCTAACTGCACAATCCAATCTGCCTGCTTGAATATCTCAGGGAAGTATGGTTGCTGTTGTAGTTCCTGACGATTGACAAGAGACGTAGCTCTTGGAATCTTCTGGGTGCTCTTGAAATGCGTGCCTCACCTAGGTCAGGGCTACCTCGTGTTGAATTTTTTTTGCGAGTGAAGGACAAATGCTCTCCGCTGCGCCGACAGCACTTGTCCGTAGACACTCAGGGAAAGCCTTTCTTCCCGTCCACAGGGCTCAGAAGTCTTGCCTGGAGTCCTTCAGAAACAGACCTGGTTTAGACTTTGTGAAAGCAAGGAGAGGCTGGGTAACTGCTAGCTTAGAGTAGCATGAGCGAGCTGAGACTCTCCCAGGCAAGCTTGCGCATGGAGCCCTCTGATCCCCACTCAGGGGAAGGATCGTGGCGGCCCAGCCCCGGTTCCGGTGAAAGGGAAAGTGGTGTTGTCTGGAAGCCGAGGCTGGTGTGCACCCACCAGGAGCAAAGGCTGGTGGCATGTGGGGAGATTGATAGAGGATCCCGAGTGTAGGATGCCTGGATGTGTTCCATCATGCGGTCCTCTAGGGAGCGAAGCTGGATTTGTAAATTTTCTTCTTGATGGAATATGTTGATAGTCCATATGTACATTTGGAAAACAATTAAAATAATAATTAAAAAGGGTAATGGAAAATCTTGAACCTGGAATTTGCATAGGACTTTGTACTGAGCATGCCATGCTTATTAGCATACTTTTGAAGTTCCCCAGACAAACCTCTGTACCTCATCTCTCTGGCTCCAAGAGACTCCTGCCGGGCTGGGCTGCCCGTTTGCGCTGAACTGGGAAGAACCAGGCAATCTGCTGCTCAGGGTGGGCCTATTGTGAAGGGAAATTTGTGTTTCGTAGGATGGGGTCATCTGGGTGAAACATGTTCAAACAGCACATGTTACAGGGAAATATAACAGAGACTTAGGATTTTCCCTTTTCTCTTCACAACAACAACACACACACTTCTCTTTCTTCCAGGGCAAGAAAAGAACACAAGATGGACCTGTATTTTGGTTCCTAGACTATAAAGTAGATCCTACCATTTTCTGAAAAATCATGGTGTTTGATCCTATTCTCTTCCTTCTTTCTTAACTGTATTTTTTTCTTGAGTGTAAAAACCATGGATTGGCCAGAGGGAATTATCAAAACTCTCAGTCATGTAGTTTGCTTACCTTTAAAATGAAGACTGATGCTCTTTCCAGAGTTGTGAGGATTAAATGAAATCAAGTATGCACCAATGGATCGCCATCTCTGGCACATAGCCAGCTCTCAGTAGACTGCATCTATTACTATCATAGCAGGAAATCTCTGTACAGAACCTGAAATTGTGCTCAACATTGGGTAGTCAAACACTCTTTGACAGTATCAGCTCACTAACTTAAGTGGCGTGTGAGGACCAGGCTGGGACAAATCTGCACAGCATGGTGCATGGCCTTCCTATTTCACACAATGCTCTGAGGAGAGGGGAGCAGCATGGTTCCACTGAGGCTCAGCTGGCTTCAGCTTGTTTCTTTGGATGATCCTGGCTCTGTCAGAAGGGTGTGGGCCTACTACCGGGAAGGTTGACCTTGCAAACCCACTAGCCACTCTGTAGGAGAAAGAGAAAGCTATCTGCTCCCATGAAAGCCACAGTGGCTTAAGCGTTGGGCTGCTAATCTCAAGTTCAGCAGGTCAAAACCACAAGCCACTATTACAGCCTTGGAAATCCACTGGGGCAGTTCTGTCCTCTCCTAGAGGATACTAGGAGCCAGAATTGACTCTGGCAGTGGGTGTGACTTTTGGTTTTGGCTATGCATATTTAAAGTTTTAATTTAGAAACACAAAGTGCTGCCTATTGCTGTGAATAAAAATTGAAAACAAAACAAAAGACCTGAACCCACAGCATCTGAGTCTACCCTGACTCAGTGACCCAGTAGGACAGAGTAGAATGATCTCATGGGGTTTTCAAGGAGATCGATCTTTATGGAAGTAGACGGGTTCATCTTGCTCCTTGGGGTTTCAGTGACCGGGGGCTTGGACTACTGATATTTTGGTTAGCAGTCAAAGTTTAACCCTCTGGGCCACCAGGGCTCAGGTTATATGGGGCAAGACTTTTTTGGAAATCATACTGCAATTGAATTTGGTAAGCATTCATTAAATATTTGACAGTGTATTAGGCACAGTTATTTGATAGTTAACAGTCTGGTGTGAAGGGTTAACTAAAGTTCGGCACACTGGTCGTTAAGCCTCTTTTGGTCTTCTTTTTCTTTAAGAAAAGAAGGAGAAAGTAATTAGAAGTGAAATATAGAGTACTCTTGAATTCTTGCTCTTGCAATATCCATCTATGCAGTGGTGAAGAATTTGGGGTTTAATCTTGGAATTGCTCAGTAGACTGTCAGCCAATATTTGCTCATATTATGTTTCATTGTGGTAAATATACACATAACGAAATATTTGCCATTTCAACATTCTTCCTGTAACAGACCAGTAGCATGAAGTACATTCATCATGTTCAACTCTTCCCAATTCTTTTCATTACTCTTAACAGGAGCTCAGTGTCCCTTAAATATTGAGTCCTCCTGTGTTAGTCTGGGTACTTTAGAGAAACAAATCCACAGAAACTTATATGTATAAGAGAGAGTTTTATATAAAGGTTAAGTGCACATCAAGAAAACATCCCAACCCACTGCTGCCCAAGCCCACATGTCCAACATTAACCCATATGTCCAACACCAATCCACAAAGTCCTCCTCCATCTCACAAAACAGATGCAATGATGCCGACTGCAGGAGGAAAGCCCAGTTAGTGAATGTGTAAGCATCTCAATGCTGGCAGGGGTCTCCACATGTCTGCTCCAGCACTCAGGGCTGCATCGGGGTAGGTCCATGTGGTTTTTCCTTGGGGGTGTCTCCCAGGAAGTGAGCCTTGCCAGCTGAAGCAGGGAACTGGTTAAGGCAGCTGCACCCTGGTCCGACCATCACAAAGCAAGAGACCTGAGAACTGGAAAGGTGAGGCTCACTGAGCCATTTATTCCTCTGCCCTTCACTTAACCCCACATGTGTTTATCGGCCAGGTTGGCACAATAAACTAACTACCTCACCTCCTTTCTGTCTCCCTCCTTCCCACCCCTGGTAACCACTAATATACTTTGTTATCTGTATGCTTGCTTATGAATCAGAATCAACTTGATGACGACGCGTTTGCGGGGTTTTTTGGATTCTAGGTTTGTAAGTGGGATCATATAGAATTAGCCTTTTCTGTGACCAAGTTATTTCATTCAGCACATTTCCAAGACGTATCCATGTTTTAGCATGTATCACAGTTTAATTTCTTGTTCTTCTGTATTAGTAATAGTCCATTGTATGTCTGTACCATATTTTATTCATCCACGGATGGATGTTTAAACTGTTTTCACTTTTTGGCTGTTGTGGCAAGTGAGTGAACATTGGTGTACAAGTATCTGTTTGTATTCCAAAACCCAAAGTCTCTGCTATCCAGCCAATTATGACTCATAGCGACCCGGTAGGACAGGGTAGAACTGTCCCTGTGGTTTCCATACTAACTCTTTACAGGAACAGAAAGCCTCCTCTTTCTCCCGAGTAATGTCTGGTAGTTTTGAACTGCTGACCCGAGGTTAGCAGCCCAACATGTAATCTGATGGCACCAGGCTCCTTGTCTGTTTGTATACCTGCTCTTAATTCTATCGAATATGTCCACAGGGATGGGTGGAAGTGCTGGGGATCGTATTTGTTGTTCCTCCTCTTTCAGCAGCCTCTTTGGGGCATCATGGCCGATGACGTGATTTCAAGTCAGGGTTGCCCAGAGTGGTCCTGGGGTGAATCTCATTGCGGTGTCTTTGGGTATGTAAGACTGTAGAGGTGCATATAGACTGTATGTTCTAAAATGTTATTTATTTTTGACTGAAATGCTCTTCCCACCCTCTCTGTTGCAGTATTCAGGATTTCACACGGAGAGATCTGAATCTGATCACGACAGTCAGTGGGGCGGCAGCCCGCTGACAGACACAGCCTCTCCGCAGCTCCTGGACCCGGCAGACAGGCCGGGCTCCCAACACGATGCGTCCTGCGCGTACAGACAGTTCTCAGACCGCAGCTCACTCTGCTATGGATTCGCGCTCGACCATTCCAGGCTCGTAGAAGAGAGGCACTGCCATACCCAGGCCTGTGAAGGAGGCCGATGCGAGGCAGGCAGGTACTTCCTGGGAACTCCGCAGGCCGGGAGGGAGCCTTGGTGGGGCTCTCGGGCAGCCTTGCCCCTAACCAAGGCCTCCCCAGAAAGCAGAGAAGCCTACGAAAACAGCATGCCGCACATCGCCTCCGTCCACCGGATCCACGGTAAGCGCAGACCATTCCAGCCACGGTACGTTGTAACTGACCCAAATAGCTTTGGCTTTTGAATTTACAGTGCAGAAACACACACCCAAAGTGTTTCTTAAAAACACCAGATCCATCTGCTTAAGGGTACTGATTCCGTTAATTTTTACTTTTTACTCTCAAGAAGAAAGGTATGCTTACTAAGTATGTTTTCTTTTTGAGGTAAGTAACCGAGATCCTGTTTCAAGCAATAAAAAAGTATAGACATTAAGTTAGAATGGTTGACTCTATAGTATGTGCACATTTAAATTTCTTGTGCAGGTTTTCTTCCACAATCTCATGCTTTGAATGTGAACTTGAACGGTGTCTGACGTCATGATTTTATGTTGTCATTTTCAGGTGCTGTCAGTTCAGACCCACAGTGATCTCATGCGTAACAGAACACAAACACTGCCTGGTCCTTTGCCACCCTCCCACTTGTTATGGTTGAGCCGATTGTGGCAGCCACTGTGTCCATCCATCCCAGTGGAGGGTCTTCCTTA